CCGGCCCACGCCGCCCCTCACCCAGCACAGTGCGCTTCTCCAGGTAGGCGATGATGTCCTTCATGTACTTGGCCATGTTTTTGGTGTACTGCAGTGCCTCGTCCACGCCACCCTCACAGCGCTGCAGCAGCATGTCCACCTCCTCGGGGGGAGGGCAGCCTGCAGGGGTTCCCACTCAGCGCAGCCCTCACCCACAAGCCCACCTACAACTCCCAGCATGCTCAGCCCTGGCCCTCTGCTACCTCGTTGGTCCACCATTCAACCCCTCCCACCTGTCCATTCAGGCCCTCTGCCCCTCAGCCCACTTCAGCCCCTTTCCCGCCCAGCCTCTGTTCTCTGCCGCTGGCCAGCCTTAAACACATCCCTGTCTGCTGCACGGTGGAGACTCACCTCCGTCACAGTCCTCGGTGCTGGGGGGGGTGCCCTCACCACCCTGTCCGTACAGGTGCTCCATGGCCTGTATGGGAGGAAACAGGTGAGGCCAGCCCCATGCAGGGCCCTGTCTGCTGGCCTGACCCAGTGCCACACCCAGGGCTCCCCCACCCTGCCCCTGCTCACCTGGCTCGGGTCTCCGGGAGGCACCGAGAGGAGGGTGCTAACGTCCACTTCACCCATGAGGAACTCGGACACGCTGCAGGGCAGGGGTCAGGGTTATATGATCCCCCCGGAACCGACCCCCCAGCCCTGCTGGCTGCCACAATCACTCACGTGCTGCTGAAGGAGACAGCAATGGTCTCCAGGGCCTTCTCAAACTCCCGCTTGTCTGCCTCATTGTTGCTCTCATAATGGAAGCCTGGGAGGCAGAGACTACCATGAAGGGTCCATCCACTGGGAGGTGACCACCCCTGCAGCTAACTGGTGGGAACCCTTAACCCAGTGGGAGCATCAGTGAGCAGTTGTGCCTGTCAGACTCCTATGCATCCTTCAAAACCCACTTTGGTTTTACAACAATTAAAAAAAAAAAAAGTGTGTAGAGAGAAATTTTCTGTAAAGAAAAAAGAAAAAAAACAACTTCAAGCCATAAAGACAGATGAAGTCCTGATACGTGTTACAATATGGATGAACACCGAAAACATGATGCTGAGTAAGATAAGCCAAACACCAAAATACTGTATGTTCCAGCTTCTATGAAATAGCTACAATTGGTAACTGCATAGAGACCAAAGTTTACTAGCGGTTACCAGGGGCTGGAAGGAAGAGGGAAGGGGGAGTCTTAGCTTAGGAGCTCTGAGCTTCTGTTGACAGTGGTGGGATGATCTGCAAAAGGATAGAGGTCAGGCTGCACGACATGGTGAACATAACAATATCACTAAATTGGACATGTAAAAATGCTGAATTGGCAAATTTTTTTTATATGTACATAAAACCAAAAACCAAACCCATTGCCGTGGAGTCAATTCCGACTCATAGCGACCCTACGGGACAGAGTAGAACTGCTCCATAGGGTTTCCAAGGCTGTAATCTTTACGGAAGCCAACTGCCACATCTTTCTCCTGAGGGGCCGCTAGTGGGTTGGGTTTGAACTGCCGACCTTTCGATTAGCAGCCCAGTGCTTCGCCATTGAGCCACCAGGGCTCCTCCTTATATAGATGTATATTAGAAATGAATGAATAAGATCAACTTATTTAAAGCACGCCCCTCAAAAAAAAAACCCACTTCAAATGTCTCCTCCTCCAGGAAGCCCTCCCAGGTGGGGCCCTCCCTGCTGCCTCTACTGCCCCTGCTGACCTTTGACCTTGTTGATAAGGTTGCCAGCAGCCGTGAGCGTCTCCACGGTGTTTAACAGCGGGTGTTTGAAGATGACTTGGCGCATCACACGGAGGGCCTCGCCCAAGCACTCATGCGCTAGCGGCCGGCGGGCCTCCAGGAGGTCTGCGGACACAGCTAGCGTGAGCCGGGAGGGAGGAAAAGCCTGTCCACCTCCTCAGAGCTCCCACCCCCGATGGGGAAACTGAGACAGAGGTGGGTGTGGGTGGCTGCCCAGGGGTCATGATGGGATCTCGGATGATGTATTGTCCCTCTCTGGACTGCTGGTCCCCTCTGCTCAGAATGACCATCCGCTGTCCCCCCAGAAAGTGAACTCTTTGTACCTCAAGCTGCAGCGCTGGCGCCCCTCCTCCATGCAGCCCACCCGGCCCCTCCCCTGCCTGAGGCCCTGGAGGGACTCAAGGTCCTGCCCAGCTCTCTCCCTAGCCTGTCTGCCCGAGTACCCCATTATCTCAGTCTGCTGGCAGCCATCCCACGAGGTGGGTACTCTCATCACCCCCACTTTGCAGATGAGGAAACTGAGGCAGAGAGAGGGGAAGTGCACTTCTCAACCATCACACCGCTTCTCCGTCTACACTGGCCCCAAGCCCAAGGCATTAAATCCCGCACCCCCACACCTGCAAACGTTCTTAATTGGAAAAAGGCAGTGCGCGCGGCGGATCACCAAGCGTAAGGCCCGCACGGTCTACGTGGGAGAAAACAAAAGCATAGGAACCGCAGAAACGGCGGAAAGCTGGCTGCACTGGTGCCGGCAGGGGCGGGGGCCTGGCCACGGGCTGGGAGGGCAGCTTTGACCCCTTTGTCCCCGCTGAGTCTGTGCCTTGTATTAAAAAAAAACAAAAAACATTGCTGTCAAGTCAATTCTGACTCATAGTGACCCTATAGGACAGGGTAGAACTATGCCATAGGGTTTCCAAGGAGCAGCTGGTGGATTCAAACTGCTGACCTTTTGGCCAGCAGCCAAACGCTTAACCACTGCGCCACCAGGGCTCATCTAGGATGTTCAAAAAATCAGTGAAACTTAAAATTAGGTGTCCGTCCCCTCTTTGCACCGAGGTCCCCGCTGAACGCCGCGCCCTGGGAGACTCAATGAGACCCTGGCCCACGTTTACTGCTGACTCAAGGAGGTGGGAAGGGGGCTTCAGGAAGCCGAGCACGCAGCTGACTGGTGGCCATGCCCTCCGCCTCACATCCTCAGCCACCAAGCCCCTGCACCCACCAGGGAAGTCTGTGGCAGGCGGGATCCCTGCAAAGGGCCAGATACCCGGCTCTGCGCGGCAGCTGCCGTGTCGCCATCTGATGGGCTGCGTGTGTTCTGAGCGCCGCGAGACCCCAGAGCAGGGAGGCCCCCTGCCTTGCACTGTGGCCTCACCTGGGGGCCCGGGGTGCATGGTCCCGGAGATGCACAAGCCTCAGCTGTGGGGTGGGGCCGTGGATGCCGGGACCAGGCAAGCGGCTGGCTGGTCAGGGTCTCCCAGGGCTGGCTCCCGGCCAAACAGCTCTGGCCAGTCTGGAGGCCCCACCCCCAGTGGAGGAAGTCCTGCCCCAACGACCTGCTCGCCCTGGCTAGGGTCCCAGCTCCCCTCCACTCCAGGCACAGTAGTCAGGGGATGCTCCCACTCCCAGCCGGCCACCGACCAGATTCCAGGGCCGAAGGAGCATGAGAAAACAGGCCCACAGCCAAGGTACCTGGAAGGGGCGTGGCAGCCACAGCAGACCCCTGCCCCGCCCACGTGGGCCATGCCCACGGCATCTTGGTCTGACTGTGCCAGGGTCCCCAGGCTGAGGTGTGGCACCCACTGACCACAACCATCACAGTAATAACTAGCCGTGGATCGCGCTCACTGCAGGCCAGATGCCGAGAACACTACTGTCTGAGCAGGCGTAGGACCCCAATTTACAGAGAGGCGCCCGAGGCTCAGAGGGGACACTGCTTGCCCAGCAGCACACAGTGGGTCAGGGCAGAGCTGGGACTGGAACCCTCATCCTTCCCAGACCCTTCCTCCGGCCCTGACAGCCCCCATTAACGCCGGAAAGGTACAGAGGCCCCTCCGCTGGTCAAGGTCAAATCCTGGCTCCGAGTGAGCAGGGGGTTGGGACAACTTGGCCTCATCTGTAAAAGGGGCGGCTGGGGAGCGGCTGGGGAGCGGCTCAGAGCGCGTGGTGCAGCCCTGGCACTGTGGTTTCCGGGAGGATGAGCGGGGGCACAGGCAGAGCAGGAGGTACTGTGCCCTCCCGCCCAAGATGCCCGCCGGGGCTGCCAGGGACAAACAGGAAGCAGATGAAAATAACTCGGCAGGAAGCTGGTTGTCAGCAGCCACGTGGAGCAGAAAACGGAACTGCCATTCCATGGCCCCTCACTCCCAGCAGCTCCTATGCAGGTCCTGCTTCTTGTCCCTCCTGAGTCTCCCACCCCCAGTCTGTGCCCCACTGCCTCATCCGTCCTCTGCTCTAACACCATCTATGGCTCCCCATTGCCCTCAGGATAGTTCCTGCCTGGTATTCTCATGTCTTCACCTCACATTTTACACACCTGTCCCTTGTTTTCCAAACGCACTACAGTTTCCATCCTTCTGAGCCTGTGCACATGCTGTTGCCTCTGCCTCAATGCCTTTCCCTCCTAGTTGCCCCCAAACTCCTACACTCTCCTGAAAGCTTCAGCTGCAATGCCCTCTTTCACACAGCTCTCCCTCCAACCCCCTTCTGAGCCTCCTCAAGTCCCTCCCTCCACCCCACCTTAACCCCACAGGGCTTAGGGTATCTGTGTCCAGCTCTGCTTTCCACCAGCCTCAGGGCCTGCGGATCCTCACCTTCACGAAGCACACACTCTTTGAGCTTCTCCAGGCCCTCAGCGAAGCGGGCCACATCAGCCAGCAGGTGGGCAATGTCATCGATGGCGTCGGGGCAGGGTCCCTCGGCGCTCAGCTCAGCAGGGCTGGCCGCTGTTAGTGGGCTGCGGTGGCCCCGGCCGAGCGTCCAGGAGCCGGCTCCCGACAGGGGGAACCCAGCAGCACTGGCGTGGCGGCTCAGGCTGGTGGGCCGCTTGAGTGTGCCGGTGGCCTTGACGTTCAAGGCGGCAGCTGGTGACTCCAGGCCAGGTCCAAGGGAGGCCGTGTCAGCGCCATCTTTCCTGGGCAGCTCCTGGGGGAAGGAGAAGGGGGAATAGGGGTGGCTAAGGGGCTGTTCTAACTCACACTGCCTCTTTCCCCAGAAGTGAAGTGGGGCTCTGCAGGGGTCAAAGGCCAGAGGTCGCAGGGCTGAGATTTGACACAGTACCCCCCCACCTGTTACCCAACATCCTCTTCCCCACAGCTTGCACAAACAACGGTCTCTGCCCAAACCACAGCTGGGGGGTGGGGCCTGCAGAGCACAGGGGAGGTGGCACCCCACTTCCTGATGGGGGTGGGGAGGACCTGGGGCCCTTGTAGCCCCGCTCAGATCCCTGCAGACGCACCTACTTCCCTGTGAAGGCACATCTATAGGTTCCTATAGGTTAAGGGTCTTATAGATCCCAGTCCCATGGATACCCCCAGGCCCCGTGGACCCCTCAGGCCCTATAGACCCCCCCCAGGCCCCAGAGACACCCCAGGCCCCATAGACACCCCAAGACTTATAGACCTTCTCAGGCCCTGTAGACCCCTCCAGGCCCTTCAGTTACCCCCAAGTCTCACACACCCCTCCAGACCCTGCAGATACCCCAAGTCCCGTAGAACTCCCCGAGACTCTATAAACCCCACCGAAGTGTCATGGACACCCCCAGACCCCGTAGACCCCCAGGTCCCATAGACACCCCAAGTCTTATAGACCTTCTCAGGCCCTGTAGACACCCCCAGGCCTCTTACGTACCCCCAAGTCTCACAGACCCCCCCCCAGACCCTGCAGATATCCCCAAGTCCTGTAGAACTCCCTCAGAACCTGTAGACCCCACCGAAGTACCATGGACAACCCCAGGCCCCCAAAACACCTCCTAGTTCTGCAGATATCCCCAAGTCTAGTAGACTCCCCCATACCCCTGTAAACCCAGCAGATCCCATTACACACCCTGTTGTCTTATAAACCTTCCGCTTAATGGCCCCGCCATAGTCCCCCGTTGTTCCAACGATGCCTGAGCCCAGCACGTCCCTGAGACCCCCAACCTGCAGAGTCCTAAACCCAACACAACCCCAACCCTGGCACCCGCCTCACCCACTGTCCAGGCCCTGGCCCTCAAAGGGATGGGGGAATGTGGTAGCCACCCCAAAGGGCCCCTACCATGAGCCAAACGCTTCTGTCCCCTCCTGTCCTCGGCGGCCCCTGCAATACTGCTCTGTGGGGGCTGTAGCTGTTCCCCCGCCGCCTACCCAGCATGGCGCTGCAGTCCCCTGTCCCCTGAGCTTGGAGCGCGCCCTTCTCTTAGGCAGCAGGGTGTCACCCTCAGGTCCCCGCCTGCTCGCCGCTCCCTAGGAGACACCACTCACCCCCAAGGACTGCGGGCTGGGGCTTCCCGCCCGGTTCTTCTTTGAGATGGAAGGGGTTTTCATGAGCTCCCGCTTCTTCCTGGAAAACATGGTGGGCCCCAGCGGGCGGCTGCTGGAGGGGGCGGGCCGGGGTCTCAGCGCTGCAGCTCCTGGAGCTGGCTGCCGAGGGACCACATTGTAGCAGGCCACCCAACCCCCCCACAGCTGACAGGCCCACGTGACAGGCCCAGCCCTTATTGGCGGCCCTCCCTCCTCCCCGCACAGGAAAAGGCCTTTCGAGGCCGTACGCAGATCTGCTCCCCACCCTCCCTCTGTGGCCTCAGCCTGCTACTCCGCAGAGTGGGCGCGAAGCTGGGTCAGGCCCCGCCCACCTGGCCCTGGTCCCGCCCAGAACCCACCCACCTACGGCCCCGCCCCAGCTCGGGCCACGCCCTCAGCTTCCTCCTTTACCGGTTCAGCCCTGACGCAGATGCCCGCCCGCGCGCCCTCGCGCCCCCGCCTGGCACTCTGCGGGCGTACAGGCAGCACAGACTCAAGGGATACCGACCTCATTCGACTGGGACACGCCCAGATGACACATTACACAGACACCTGTGCTCTATTATGTACAGGGGCGAACTCTCACACACGATCAAACCCCAGCCACGGCCACCAGCCCAAAGTCACATGTCGCCTGTCCAGCCCCACACCTCTGGAGACCCCTCCTGCTGACCTCGGGGCTTCATCTCCCAGCTCACCCGCCCTGAAGCCCCAGCCTAGTAGTGCCCACCCAAAGCTCCCACTGAATTCCAGGCCTTGCTGGGGCTGGAGCTGGGGGCACACACATCGACCACAGTCACACTGGGCAGTGGGACACAGATGCAGAAACGGTGATAAGACGCCTGTGGCCACCACACCACGTTCCTGGGCGAGGGGCATCAACTGTGTGTAGAGGTCCCCATTCCCCATCACTTCCCTCCTTTTGGACCCTCTAGTCTGAGCCCCGCTCCTTAAGGAGTTCCACCCCCAACCCAGAAACCCCTTTCCCCTCCCCGATCCCGCCTACTTTCATCACTGACTTCAGTGGCAGGGGTGGGTCTTGGGGGCACAGGGCAGGCAGAATGCAGCCCCCCATGCCAAGCCCAACTCCCAGGGTCTGCATCCAACCACAGCCAGCCCAGCAGCCCCTTGAGGACCCTCTGCCCACCACTCATTTCGCTGAGGGCTGGGATGGGGGGCAGCTGCCAGAGGGCTCCTCCCTGGCCTGTGTTCTGGGCTCAGCCGCTAGTCTCCCAAGTGGCAGGACATTCCCAAGCCCTGACCTCATCCCTTCCAGGGCCCCGGCACTTACAGGTGCTGCCTGAAGGCACCAGGCCCACGTGGGCACACACGGGCACAGTGCCATGACCACGCTCTGGTTAAGTGCCCACTTACACGGGAGACATACCCAGTCCCGGCCAGGGGGCCCAATTGGCTCACACCGACCCCTGACCAGCACCTCTGCATTCACAAGCCCACTTACACACATAAGTGTACGAGAGGACCCACACCCAAGCATGTGCACAGACGCAGACATGCGTGTCACCCGGCGTGAGAACACACATGTCCATGGTCACACCACCAGTCGTCTCTTTATTTCCTCCCGGCCAGCTGCCCCTCCCAGAACCTGGATCCCAGCTCCAGGCCTTCTGCACTGTCCTGCCCCTGGGGAAGGGGGCTCAGAGCACAGTCTCTGCAGCACTGGGGTCCTCCAGGAAGCAGCTGATGCGTTTGGGGCGCTCCAGGCGTTGTGCCAGGTACATGCCCACTCCTGCCTCCTTCTGCAAAGTGTCCTTTTCGTCCTCTTCCTTCCCTTGGTCCTTGGAGAAGTACAGGAATACCTGGCGGGTGGGCGGCGGAGGGGGTAGGAGGGATGGTCAGCCCGCAGGCCTGGCGCCCGGTGCCCCCAGCCCCCATCCCAGGCGGCAGTCACCTCCTCCAGGGTGGTCTGGCTCACGGAGAAGTCCTCCACGCCGTGCTCCGCGCCGTGTGCCGCCAGCTCGCCAAAGACGCGTCCCAGGGCGCAGAGCCCACCTGGCGGCAGCTGGAAGCGCAGGCGCCCACCGTGCGCCTCCCGCAGCTCGGCCCCGGGGAACGCCGCCGCCACAAACCCCACCGCCGGCTTGGGCTGTGTGGCGGGCACCCGCAGGGTCAGCGTGTGGCCAGCTCCGAACCTGGGGCAGGTGAGGCCAGGGCTGTTGGACTTGCCCTCGGCCCACCCCTACACCTGCCCCCGCTGGACTCCCCCACCTATCCAGCACTCACGGTCAGGCCCCTGGCTAGTCCTCCCACGCCTAGTGCTCATCCCCCCTCTAACACCCACCACTTCCACCGCCCCATCACAGTGTACCCTACCTCCTCCACCTCTGCTCAGGGCCCCGCCCTCACCACTCTGGCCCCCACCTCTACCCCTCCTCTAAATTTGCCCACAGCCTCAGGCTCACTCATCAGGCCCCGCCCCCACTCCCCTCTCCAGGACCCGCCTCTAACCTGGGCGCCACACGATCCCTCTTCCGGCCTCTCCTCTAGCCCCGCCCACCACATCCCTCCTTCCCTCCCAGTCCTGCCCCTACACCTGTCTGGAGGCCCCGCCCACTCACTTGCCCTTGAGGTGCTGCGCGCTGCCCAGGCAGCGGAAGCGCCCGTTGGTCATGATGGCCAGGCGCGTGCAGAGTGCCTCACACTCCTCCATACTGCGGGACGAAAGCCTCGAGTCCGGCCGGGCCTGGATCTCAGGGTGCCAGGACCACCCCTCTGCTCCGGATAACCTTCGGCCCCTCTTCCCACTAAATCCCCACACTCCCGTGCCTGGCATCGCACCCTGGGGTCACCTCTGGCCCAGCTGGGTAACAGCTCCACCCTTCAGGACTACTCATCCCGTGCACCCCAGCTCTGGACATCCTTGAGGGGGCCTGGCCCACCTCTCACCCCCAGCTCCATCAGGACCGGCTGGGGCCCTCCCACAGGGCTTGCACCAGCACTGGCATGGGGCCCACCTGTGCGAGGTGAGCACCACGGAGCGGCCTTCCCGCACTACGGCCAGCAGGCTGTTCCAAATGAAGCGCCGCGCTTGGGGGTCCATGCCCGTGGTCGGCTCGTCCTAGGAAAGAGAGACACCCATAAGCCTGGTCCCACCTAGGACCAGGCCCACCCTCGTCACCACCGCCCCCCCACGCACCAGGAACACGACGGCCGGGTCCCCAACCAGTGCCACAGCCGTCGCCAACTTCCGCTTGTTGCCACCACTGTAGGTGCCGGCAGGCTGATTGGAGTAGCGCACAAGCCCAAAGCGTGCCAGGCACACGCGTGCTGTCTGTGGGGCAGGGCCAGAGTGAGAGTGAAGTGGGGACAGAGAGCAGGTGGGACAGGGCCAGAGGGAGCACGAGGCTGGGAGGAGTCTGACTCACCTGGGCTACCTGAGCCTCCGGGATTCCACGCAGACGTGCAAACAGCTCCAGGTGCTCACGGCCAGTCAGCAGCTGGAAGACAGCATCAGACTGCGGACAGTAGCCCATGTGGCGGTGAGCAGCGGCCGATTCCTGAACCACGCTGAGGGATGAGGGGACACAGGACTTAAGGAACTGGCTAGACCCTGGCCGTGCTGAGTGGCGACACGGGGAGTCTCAGGGCCTGCTTCTTATTGGCGAGGGGCAGAGGGTGTATAAAGGCCCCCCACCCCAGCCCCCTCACCTGTGGCCCACCAGCACAGCCTCGCCCGCGCTGGGCAGCATGTCCCCAGTCACCATGCGAAACGTGGATGTTTTCCCTGCTCCGTTCACACCCAGTAACCCAAAGCACTGTGGAGATACATGACCAGCACTCAGAGAGGCCCCAGCCCTTGTCCCAGCACCTCTGATTCCCCGTGAGGTGGGCTTCTCAGTTTCTGCTTGGAGAAGAGGGACCTCTGGGGTGTATGGGGAGGCACAAAGCTGTCAGTGAGGACCGACTTCACGCATGGAATGTGTTTAATCAATCCTGACATTCAGTAGCTAGCCAGTAAAGCAAACACAGCAGGTGCTCAAGAAACAGAATGTTTCCGGCGCACAGTAGGTACCTAAGGACCAATGGTACCTAGTGAGTACTCAGAGATTTGGTACAGGCAGTCCAAGGTGGAGAGATTTGCCAGGACACAGTAGGTATTTGGTAAAGAGTTACTGCCACTTATACTAACACAACAGGTATGTACAAATGTGGATTGGCCCCTAGTAGGTGGTCAATAAACAGCACACTGCAAATAAATGCGCACATAGTAGGTGCCTGAATGTAAATGTGTACAAAGCAGGTGCCATGAGCAAGTGCTTGGTACAGATGTGTATACAGCAGGGGCTCAAAAAATGCCTATTGGTGCTCAACAAAAGGTGACATTCAATACAGCTTTGGTATGAACAGTGGGCACTCAGTAAAGGTTTGTTGCCACATAGGAAGGCTCAACTATGCTTTAGTGCACACGATTGGTACTCACTAGATGTTGGCACATAGTAGGTAATTAATGCTTACTGGCAGCCTACAGGTGCTCAATAATTTTTTTCCTGTCCTCAGGGAAAGCTTACTAATACCTTGTTGCACACAGTAGGGCTAAATAAATGTAAGCATGCAGTAGGTGCTCAGTGAGTTTGCTGGCACACAGCAGGTGTTCGTTAAAGAACTGTATGTGCACAGTAGGTGCTCAATAAAGAGCGGTGAGCGTTCAGTAGGGCAGCCGTTCACTGCCTCTGTATGCCCTCCACCCGAGACTTACCTCACCAGGGGGGATTCCCAGGCACAGGCGGTCAACAGCCGGCATCCTCTGACCGTGGTACACCTGGGAGAGGAGTGCAAGCCCCTGAGGACGGGTAGGTGGGCTGGTGGGAGCCCCCCACCAGCGCTGACCTGTCCACACCCACTTTGGTCAGGTCCCTCAGCACCAGCACATCATCATGGGTGTCCCCTCGGACTACCCGCTCCCGCTCACGGGCCACATCCTCTTCTTCCTCCCCCAGAGGCGGAAGTGGACGCAGCTTGGGCCTGGGGACAGAGATAAGAGTTGGCCCAAAGCCTGCCCCCTACTTCCTGCCCCCTTCCTCCCAGTCCCCCACTGACTGTGGAAGGAGGTACTGGCGGTACTGTAGCAGGAGCGTGAAGAGGAAGAAGAGGGGCCCCTGGACTGCCATGGCCAAGAGGTTCTTGCCAACAACCTCCCAGCGCAGAGGTGATTGGAACTGCCTGTCTCCTGTGGGTACAGGAAGAAGGGACTGGGTCACTGGGAGGCTCGGTTTCTGGCCCCTTCCCCATCCCAACCACCCTAGATTCTTAAGGGAGAGGGCCATGAATCAGATGGGACATTCAACTGAGGTTTAATTGCCATAGAAAACTGTGATATCATTACCTCCCTTATTTAGGGTCTTAGGCCTCTTGTGATGTGACCCAAGATAGAATTAGCTTTTGTGACTGCCCTGTTGTAGCTCTAACTTAGCCCAAACTTGGGGCTACTTATGACACAGTTCTTTTCCTGGGGGCTGCTTTTTGTCCCCACCTTGTAAACTGATTCTTGGATGACACTGCCAAGGGTGTTGGCTACCTAAAGGCATGGACCTGCCTGGCAGGAAGTTCTCACCCAGGCGCTCAAAGGCATCAGCCACGGCCTGGTTCCGCACCATGTCAATGAGCCCTCGGCCCAGGCAGAAGTGAGGGAAAATGAGGAAGACCCGTTTCAGGATTTGGCTCACCTCCTGCAGCTTCTGAGTAGGAACAAGAAGAGGGAGGTGGGTCAGGGGTGAAGGCCAATGCCCTGAGCTAGCCTGAGACCCAGCCTCACAGCACCCCACCTTGTCAGAGAAGAGTTCAAGTACAAAGGTAGCCATGCTTCCATTGATGCCAATGAAGAGGTTGATGCAGGTGAGCACCACGTAGGCCGTGCTAGGCACGGAGAAGAAGAAGGAGGCTGGGTACATGAGTGGCGTGATTGACCAGCTGAGGGAGCAACAGGGGCCACCAGGGCAACTGCTCAGACACAAGGCTGAGCAGCCCCAAGAGGAATACATATTTTCCCTCATCTTCTGTGCCTTAGGCCTCTATTAATGTGACCCAGGACAGGATGAGCTTTTAAGGCCACCTCAGCACATCACTGAATCAGACCATGCTTGAGGTCACCTCAGACCTCCACTTCTTCTCCCCAGAAGCTCCCTCAACAGCATTAGGCAGAGGAGGAAAAGAAGGGCAGTGAGAATGGGCCTTCAGGAGCTGGAAATCTCACCCATACAGTAGCAGCAGCAGTACAAGGGCAGGCAGGTTGGCAGGGGCCACATACGCCTTCTGCTGGAAGGCCAGGAAGATGAGCACCACAATGCACACTGGCACTAGGTAGTTACACTGCATTGGGAATGGCAGGTACTTGTGTCAGTGCGTAGGGGCAGGGACTGCCACCCTCAGCCCTGTGCCCTACCTTAATCTCCCTGCTCTTGGGGCAAGAAGACATGAGGTCTCCAACAATCCCCAAGACCCTTTCCCCCACCCTGGGCCATCCTGGACAGGCCTCTGCCCAGAAGGGGCTGGAAGGGACAATGGCTGGGCCCTCACCGCTCCAGGAGGCTCCATACCATGTCCCAGAGAAAGTTGCCGAGCCAGTAGAGGGTGGGGGGCAGGCCCCCCACAAGCTGCAGGTGTTTGGCTCGGGTGACACGCTCCTCAATGAGGACAAGGGTGAAGCTGGCAGGGACAAAGGACATGGCGAAGACCACACAGATGGAGATGAGGACGTCCACTGAGGAAGCCATCCTGAGGGCAAGGGTACAAGGGCTATTGGAGGGGAGAGGGCACGCGAGCTGCTAAGAGAAGAGCTGTGCGTGTCACGGATGGGACAAAGGTCTATAGGGCCAGTCACTGGTGGGGGAGATGGCACAGGCCATTTGGGGGGGGGTGGCTGGGTCATTCGGCAGGGAGAGGTTGTCCAGGTCTCTGTTAGGATAAAGGTTGGTGGGACGAGGGTGCGTGGGCTGTAGGGGGAGCCTGTTGAGGCTGATGATGTCCTGTTACCCTGGCCAGGAATAGCGAGGGGCAGTCCCTGTTCCCTGTTTCCATGGCTAGGGCGTGGCAAAAGTGAGAATCTAGTTCTCACCACCCTAGACAGCAGAGGCCCAGGTGGGAGAGAGTGCACAGGGTGGAGGACTCACAGCGCGACCTCAGACAGCTGTTCCCTGGTAAGGTTCAGGGGGTGGTTAAGCGTGGTGATGCTGTGGGCACGGTGCGTGGAGCCTGGGGGCAGGTTGGCACGGAGGAGTGCATTGTTGGCTCGGTTGACAAAGGCCACCATGGCATGCCAGCCCTTGTTGTTGAACCAGACCTGGGGTGGGGGCAGGGCGGGGCCTGGGGTCATGGCCAGGGGTCAGGGTGGGGGGTCGGATGTGCCCCCCTGCTGCCTGCCCACCACCCCCAGCTCCCACCTTGAGGCTGTCCTGAGCATCTAGGCCATGAGCCCAGGCTGAGAGGCTGCTCAGCGTGCGATCCAGGGCCCCACCAGATGGGGGACTCAGCAGTATCTGCAGGTCTTTCACCCAGCGGCCCACATCCTGCCCTGAGGGCAGGCCTGGATCCCGGCCCCCCAGCGAGAAGCCCCCATACCTGCGTGGCAATGGGGGCAGGGGGGGCAGCTGAGGGTCCGGGGAGGTGAGGTGGGGAAGGCCCCCCCCCAGGAGGCAGGGAGGGGGTGGTGGGACTGGAACCCAGGGCAGGGGACCTCCAAGTCAGGCCCATTCTCACCTGACCTCGTTCACTCTTTTCTTGGTTTTCAGGCTATGGGAGAAAAAGACAGGGACAGGGAGAGATAGAGATCGGGGAGAGACAGAGATCGGGGAGAGACGGGGGAAGAGATGAGAGAGAGACAAAGACGGAGAAGGACAGAGACAAGGGGAGAGAAAAGAGAGGTAAAGACAGAGACAGAGATGAGGACAGAGAAGAAGAGAGACAGACAAGGGGAGAGGTAGAGATGGGGAGGGAGAGAGAGATGGGGAAAGACAGAAATAAAGAAGAGACACAAGAGATAGAACAACAGAGAGAGAATCGAGAGGGTGAGACAAATAAAGAGAAACCTGGGGAGGTGCGGAGGGCCCCAGGGAGGCCCCATCCTGGAGCCTTAGGCTGGGGTCCCCTGACCAGCCCACTTCCCGAACCTAGGTCCCCCAGCTGCAGCCAATCCCGGGGGCTCACCCCTGGTGCACCAGGCGTGGATAGGTCTTGACCAGGAAGTCGGACAGGTTCCTGCCTGTCAGGTTCTGCACCACCTCACCCGAGCCTGTCAACGCCTGGGGCGGCGGGGGGCCGCCGGCTGCAGCCGGGCAATCAGGTAGTAGACGACGGGTGCCAGGTCGGCTGCAATGGCAAGCTGGAGACGGAGACTCGGGGGTCCAGTTGCCCCTGGCCAAGACCTCAGCCACGTCCTCAGGCATCTCAGGCACCAAGAATAGGCAGGAGGGGAGCAGCGTGCACTTGGACTCCCTGCAGGTGTGGGGGCCGGACTGTAGGCACCCAGGCTTCCAGGGGCGTCCGGCCCACCAGCGAGCATGGAGGGTGTTCTGGGCACCCAGCCCAGATGGGGAAACTGAGGCCAGAGAGGGGCGAGGTCCAGGCTGGTGGGCCCTCACCTGTCGGAGGCATTCTGCAGGTACAGCTCCTCCAGCCCTGCCTCCTCCAGCAGTGCCTTGAGCAGGCGGGCACTTTTGGGGTCCCCTGGGGTGTCCTCGCTGTATGTGTGAGGGGTGCAAGGTCAGAGCTGTGCCCACAGGCCCTGGCCCCACCCTCCCACCAGCCCCTTCCCTCCCACACCCACCTGAAGAAGGACACTCGGGTCCCATACATGTCCGGACTGAGCTGCAGCGCCGGGTAGTACCCAAAAGGTGGTATGATGAGGCTGAACACTAGCGCCAGGCCCACGAAGAGGGCAGGCAGCACGATCTAGGGGGCGACCCATCAGCGGCTGCCTTGCCTGCCCTTCAGACTTTCCAGCATCCTCTTTCCTCCCACTCTAGAATCACCTGTGGCTCCCCGGCATCTGTACCCTTTCCTGCTCCCGCTCCAGAACCTGCTGTGGCTTCCTAGTGCCCTTCCCCTTCCCCTTGCTCCCGCTCCAGAACCAGCCATGGCTCCCTAGTGCCCTCACCCTTTCTTGTTCCTGCTCCAGAACGAGCTGTGGCTCCCTAGTACCCTCAATAACTGTCCTCATAGTGAAACATAAATGAGCAGGTAGTTGAATTAGGCCACCAAGTAGTCAGCTAGCAGGGAGAACAGGCACCTGGGGCCTCCATGTGACCTGCCTGGTGCCTGGCCCCCTCACCTGTGCAAACAGGCCTCGGCGACTGCGGCAGGCCAGCAGAAAGCGCTTGAGAAGCAGGGCCCGGAGCTGCTGGCGGGTCAGCACCCAGCCCTGCACCCGGCCTGCAGCATCCAGGCCAGAGCCCCGCAGGGCCTGTGTCTCCAGGGCTGACCCAGCTGTGGAGGACAGGAAGGTAAGTGTTCACGCTGTGAGTGACTGGCAGAGACCACCGGGCCACAATGGGAGACTCACCTGGCTCCCCATTCTCCAGGACTGGCCCCTCAGGCTGCACCATGAGCCGCGTGGTGGTGACTGGGGCAGCAGAGCCCATGCCCGGGGGCTGTCTGTGGCTACCTCCTGCGGGACCGTTGAGGGTCATGGGTTAGTATTGAGCCTAGGGCTGGGTCAGGCGTCACTGTTCAGCCTGGGGTTGGGGTCAAGGTCACGGTCAGGGGTGGGGGTCAGGGCTATGCCTTGGGCCAGATTCAGTTGGTAATCAGGACTTGGCCTAAGGTCAGGTCAGCTCCATCTCTGGATTGGAGTCAGGGGACAGGTCAGGGACCAGTATCCATACCCTCTGGGTCTGTGTCCACACCACAGTCCTCTACCACCTTCAGGAAGATCTGGGGATACAAGCCAAGGGGGTTCAGAGCCTGAGGACCCACAGGAGGGGAACCGGAAGGCTGCTCACCCCTCATACACACTGTGGGTTCCCAGGGGCCCTCCAGACTTCCTTCCTCCTGCACGGGCTGCCTCCTCCCCAGAAGGGCCTCCTCCCCGGAAGGTTCTTGCCATCAATACACAAACTCCTACTTAGCCCTCAAAGCACCACCACACCTCTTCCAGGCAGCCCTCCTGCACAATGTGTTTAACCAACACCCCCCCACCCCTGCACCTCCTCGAGGCTGGTGTCTGAGATCCCGTAGCCACTGAGCCCAAGCTCCCCGAGCCGTCCGTCCAGCTCATGGAAGAGCTTGGCGAAGCTGCCGTCCAGGGCACCCACGTAGGGAAGGGCCAGCACCAGCTCGTGCGGCAGCTCCTCCACCAGCCGTGTCCCGGGCACCTGGCGCTGCACCAGGGCCAGAAGCTGGGCTGTGTCTGGGCAGGTGGGGGGCATGTCAGGGCCCTTCATATCAGGGACCTTGGCACCCCTATCCCCATCTCCCCAGGGAGGGGGCTTGGGCTTAACCTGGGGTCGGGGCTGGAGTCCTGCAGGGTCAGGGGTGGGTTGTGTGTGAACTCCGTCCAGGTTAGGTCATAAGGAAAGGATTAGAGTTTGGGCTCAATTTAGGGACAGGGTCATGGGGGTCAGGCTTAGCCTAGGGGGCAGGGGTCTAGTCTGGGTACCACCACCCCACCATCCCGTCCCTTCTGGATTTTCTGCCCCAGCCCTCACCGGCCACTCTGCTCTGCTCTCCTTCCTGCCTTGTGTCCACCCTGTGCTTCAAGTCAGCATCACCCTACAGGCAGAGGGACTTCAGCTGCCATGTCTTCCCGGGGCTGGGCAGAGCCTTGGGGGTCTGGGGTCAGCTCCAGCCCTCACCTGCATGCTAGCAGCCAGTGGCAGGGTACCCTTCACCAATGTCAGGTAGTAGCCAGAGCCCAGGTGACGACGCAAGAAGAGTGGGGAGCCACAGCAGCACAAGCGGCCGCCTGTCAACATGGCCACACGGTCTCCGAGCAGCTCCGCCTCATCCAGGTGGTGGGTGGAGAGGATCAGTGTTCGGCCTGGGCATGGAGACCCAACCACGTGTACCCTCGGGCCACCTGGCCTTTGCCCAAGCTGTGGTCTCTGCCAAGGATTGCCTGCCCCACACAGCAAACTCCTACTCATCCCACAAAACCCCATCCCCAGCACTTCCTCCTTGGAAACCTTTTCAATCCCTCAAGCAGAATCCAGGGAAACCTCAGTTGCCCCCTCCTTACCTTTGCGGTATTTGAGCAGCAGTTCCCAAATGCTGCGGCGGGAAGCAGGGTCCACTCCAGCCGTGGGCTCATCCAGGATAACGACCTGAGAGCCCCCCACAAAGGCGATGGCCACTGATAGCTTCCTCTGCATCCCACCTGGGCAGGGACAGGGGTGGGATCTTAGCAGGACCCCAGCCCTGGGCAGGGACGGGGGTAGGATCTTAGCAGGACCCCAGCCCTGGGCATGGAAGTGGGGGGGATCTTAGCAGGACCCCAGCCTTGGGCAGGGATGGGGGTAGGATCTTAGCAGGACCCCAGCCCTGGGCATGGATGGGGGGTGGGATCTTAGCAGGACCCCAGCCCTGGGCAGGGACGGGGGTGGGATCTTAGCAGGACCCCAGCCCTGGGCAGGGACAGGGGGCAGGGTCTTAGCAGGACCCCAGCCCTGGGTGAGGACAGGGGGCAGGGTCTTAGCAGGACCCCAGGGCTGCCTCCCTCTCTCCATCTGCAGAGACTTCAGGGACTTCAGTTCTTGGTTCCTCCTGGGTCCCCCAGACCTGCCCATCTGGCTCTCCTGGTTCCCAAACCCCTTGGGATAAAGCCCCAGGGAGCCCCCACCCCCAAGGTGGAGGCAGTCTCCCCAGGCCAGGCTCACCCGAGAGGTGGCATGCCTGTGTCCAGCGCTTGGGGATGAGCCCTACATCCTGCAGCAGCCGATCCTGCTCGGGCCCCACAGCAGCAGCGCTGAGCCCCTTCAACCGCCCGTAGAACCAGACATGCTCTTCCACTGTGAGCCTGCGACAGTGGGCCGACATTGAGGGTGCCTGGTGGGTGGGGCCTCGGAGGACACCCCGCCTCTGCACCCCTCCCCGGTACCCCAGCCCCACTCCCGCCAAGACATACAGGTCGAACAGCACGTTGTACTGGGGGCAGACGCCCAGGTGGGGCCGGATGGCTGCCATGTGGGACTGGACGTTGTATCCCAGGACGAAGGCAGAGCCACCGCTGGGAGGGAAGAGGCCGCTCAGGATGGACCTGGGGAGGCAAGGGTCTCAGGGGAAACCGAGGCCCAGAGAAAAGGACTGTCTGTATTTATAGGGCACCTACTGTATCCCTGGCCCAGTTGGGTGTTTTGTCCCCGTTTTACAGGTGAGGGAAATTGAGGATCAGAGAAAATACTCATTACCTGCCCACCGTGTACCTGGTGTGAACTGGATTCCCCACCCCTGATTTACACCTGTCGGGCCACAGTTGCCTTCCGGTTCAACAGACAGGGAAGCTGAGGCTGGGGGAAGGGAGGGGAGGGCCGGCGGCTCACAGCGTGGTGGTCTTGCCGGCCCCGTTCTGGCCCAGGAAGGCGGTGATACGGCCCTGGTAGAAGTCCAGGCTGAGCCCGCGCAGGGCTGGCTGTGGACTGCCGGGGAAGTGCTTCTCCAGGCCCCTCACGGAGACACCGGGACGCAGGCCGGGGGGTGCCTCTTCCAACAGCACTGCCGGCGGTCACGGAAGGAGGGCAGACTCAGCGTGGGAGCAGGGGGCAGCGCGGTGACTATGGGGAGACTGGGGAGAGGGGTCTCCGGGTGCCTCGAGAGGGTCAGGGGCAGCAGGGACCCTGGCGGGGGGGGTGTCCGTGAGACTTGAGAATTGGTAACAGCTGGCTTCTGTAGGTGCTGATACATTTAAGAGTGAAGGAAGCCCCAGGGGCCTGGTGGTGTCCAGACGATTGGAGCCTGGGGGGTTTGGGGGAGCTAATGGGTCCAGACGGGGGAGGGGCTAAGGCTTGTCCGCCTCACCTTCTGGGTCCTGCGTGACGGGGGTCGGGGCGGGGTCCTTGGGCGGCAGGGGCCCACACCAGTAGCTCCTCCGAAAAGGGAAGTTCCACGGTTCAGGGATCCCGTACTGGCCTGGGGGATCGGTGCTCAGTTACCCCTTGCACCCCAGAGCGCGCCTGCTTCTGGCTGCACACCTGGGATCAGGGAGTCCAGGTACTACGCGGCCGGGAAATCCGCGCTCGCCCGCCTCACAAATACAGCCACCAGTGCGCATATATCTAGAAGCCCTGCCCCCTCACCTAGGGACCCGGCCTCCAGGTACCAAAAGGCCCCAGGCCGCACCTCATCCAAGGCCCCGTCTCTAGACACAGCCTCTTGTGCCCAAGTACCAAGGGAGCTAACTTGGCCTGAGGGCCTCCAGATAACAAGTGGCCCCAGGCCCCGCCCCTCAGTTCAGCCTCCCGCGCGTCTTTGCGCCCGGGTGCAAAGCCCCGCCCCCTGCGACCTACCTGGGCACACGGCCTCCAGGTACCAGGTGGCCAGGCCATAGAGCCCAGCGTCCAGCAGCAGCAGGCCTGAGACCTGGGCCAGGCTGAAGACGTCGGCCGCGGGCCCGGAGCCCACGTTGTGCCACTGCGCGCCCTCTCCCTGCTCCTCCAGCAGTGCCAGACTCTCGCAGCCGAAGCCGAAGGCCACGGGCGACAATAGGCTCTGCGGGCGAGGGGGGCGGGTCAGCGGGCAGGCGCGGCCCAGGGCGCCCCCCACCCGGCCCGGCCCGCTCTCACCGCGGCCACACGGACGCCTACGGGCAGCTGGTCCCGCCATGCCACACACAGCACGTAGGGCAGGTAGAGCGTGAAGTAGGCGAGGCCCCCACAGGCGGCCGCCAAGTTGGCGCGCGAGAAGAAGGTGCTCAGCAAGAAGCTCTGGACCACAGTGGCCACCGCGAAGGTCGCCAGGAACAGGAAGACCACGGCAGGGTGGCTGTAGGGGAGGATGTCCCCGAGCTGCAGAGAGCAAGGGGCTCTTAGGCACCGGGCGCCCTATGCCTGTTACCCTCCGGCGCGCGCAAGTGCGTGCCTGTTCTACAGCTGGGAAGGTGGAGGCGCGCGCCCACCTTGAGCACCAGCACTAGCAGCGCGGTGCTGAGAAGAAAGGGCCCGAGACAGCTGACGAACCAGCCAAGCCAGTGCACTGCGCGGCCTAGCCCCATGGCACGCATCGTGTCCCGCAGCCGCGTCTCCTTTTCCCGCACCACGGCCTTCACCGTCAACGCCACCGAGTAGATCCAAGCCAGCGTCAGGAAGAGCGGCAACGACCGGCTCAGCACGCGCAGGAACCTGGGGCAGGAGGCGGCTGGGGTGGAGCTGAGACCCTGTGCAGTCGACCCACGTGGCACAGCGGTCTGTGCCCCGGATCCTGCGCCAGGGAGTTTCGTCCCCCTTCTCACCCTTGGGCTCCTGACCCAGCTTCAGGATTCCCTCGGGAACCCCGTCTGCTCCCACTCAGGTCGCAAAGACCGGTGCCTCTGAACCAGCAGTTCCCCTTGACTGAGTAGGGAACCCAGGCAATTAAACCACTTTTGGGGGCTGGGGACTGGACACCCGTGTTTTTGACGCTCCAAGCCCTAAAGATTTTGGAGACGTCAGCCATCCGCCTCACAGGGGCCTAGTTGTGCTGCCCTTAAGGACCCTGACCCCTGGAGCCGTGGGCCCCTCAGACCCCGATCTGCTGAGTGGGGGAAATAGGTGGGGAGAGGGCGCCGGCGCTCACAGGTCGTCCACAAAGCACGGGTAGGGCATCTGCTGCAGATAGAGGCCTGCGCGCGGAGTGGCGCCGCTGAGCACCCGCACAGCCGCGCGCTCCAGCAGGTCCTGCAGGTACACGAAGCCGCCCCATACGTAGCGCAGGTCGGTTAAGGGGTCAGCAGCGGGGCCGGGGTCCCAAAACCTGCAAGAGGGGTATAAGGGGCAGATGCGGTCAGCTGTGCAGAGTGGCCTGGGAACTCCCAGTTCGCCCACATGCTCTTGCAAAACACAACCTTAGCTCCGCCCACGCCACGGGCTCAATTACGCACCCGATCCCGCCCGCCACACCCTTGGCCTCGCCCATCACTGCCCTCAACCTACAATCACTCCCATCTTATTTCAGACAGCGCCCACCAAGACTTGCTCAAGTACCTTATGCAACCTAGGCTCCACCTATCACAGGCCCCAATTGGTCTGAGCCCTGGACTCTGCCCACCATGACTTTGAGCATGCGGCACTAGGCTCCACCCATCGTGCCCCCCATAGGCTGAACGCACCCTGACCCCACCCACATGTACCTGGCCCCGCCCACCCACGGCCTCACCCACACCTGTCCCTGATTTTATTGGTCCTCATAACGTTGTCGATGTCCATGCGGATCTTGACACGCACGTGGCCGGGACTAGAGTCCCGGGCTGGGGTCGCGGAGGGGTCCGGGGAGTCCTCGGGCCCCAGGAAGACGAAGCCGGCCCAGAAGCGGCGCTCGGCCAGCAGCTGCTGAGCCCGCACCACGAGCGCCGCCTCGGAGGGCGCTGCCTCCAGCTTGTCCAGTGACACGCACTGGGGGAGGGGGCGGGGGTGGGCCCAAGATGCCCCCCCTCTCAGACCCACTGGCTCCTCCCCCTGGACCTCAGGCTGGGCTGTCTGCCTTCTCGGAATCCCTCCGCCATCAGATCCCCCGAAAGGCGGGCGGCTGCCCCCTCAGACCTCGGTAAGGTAGGAGGTCTCCCCTTTCAAGCTCTACAGAGACGCAGTCTTTCCCCTCAAACTGCTCCAGGCCTGGAGGCCTCCCCTCCAGACCCCCGCAGAGCAAGCTGTCTGCCACCTCAGGCTCTCCCCAGGACAGGGCCCACCTCCCACTTTGGGTGCCCAGGACAGGGCCCACTTCCCCCTCAGATCACCAAGTTGCGCCCTGCCCCCGCCCCCGCCCCAGACAGAGATCCCCAATCACTAAGCCCCTCACCTCCATCATGCGGCCCAGCATGCCCACCAGGCGCCCTACATCAGTGTGGGCCTCCCGCCAGCTGTAGCCACCCCTGGTGGGGTCCAGGAAGGTGCGGAGGGCCTCTGTCAGCTCCTGGCCTCCGGGTCCTGGCTGACTCCTTTTGTCCTGCATCTCCAGGAGCCGCTAGGGGGCAGTGGAGGTGGGGTCTGTCTGCATTGGGCCTTCACAGCCCTATCACCTCTCTTCCCATCGACAGACCCTGCATCCCTATCCCACACCTGTGACAGGCCTGCCCTTTGCCTGGAAGACCCTTCTCTGTCCTTTGCCCAAATCCTTCAGGGAGCATATGAGCCTGGGGGGCGGGGGGCGGGAGTAGAGGACGAACGTGAGGCAAGCCTCCATCCTGGGCCCCACCTGCAACACGGCCACGTTTGAACTGTCGTTCATGAAGTTGGAAATTTGGGGTCCCAGTACCGCCCACGCCTCTTGGATGTCCCTCAGCAGAGCCAGCTGCTCGAAGGTCTGGTTCACCTGCACGGAGGCGGGACACAAGATCAATATCTGCCTCTGACCCTTGGCACATGATGGTCCCTCTGCTTGCAGTCTGGTGAACTCCTACTGCCTTCAAAATGCTGTTCTCATGACCCTCTCCAAGAAGCCTCCTGGACACACCAGCCCCGGCCCCTTCCTGCTGGCCTGGCCCTGACCCAGTAGCATCAGGACCACCCTCACCTGGGCCATGAGCTGCCGGGTGAAGGGTGTGTCAGGTGTGAACAGCAGTTTCCCCAGGACCAGTGGCTCCAGGCGCCTCCAAAGCAGGCGGGACGGTGGGTGGGTGTCCAGGGCCCCCATCAGCTTGGTGCAGGCAGGGCCTGGAGCAGGGGCATCATGATGCCTGGCCTCCCATGCCCACTGCCCCACTTCCCAGGTGGGAAACCCAAGGCCAGTCACTCACTCAGGCCACCGTCCACCAGGGCTGGTGCCGGCTCCTGCCCCCTGAACTCCCTCAGGTTGCTGTCCTCATACCAGTTGAGGGAGGGCACTCCTGGGCCCCCAGACCCCCTGGCACCACACAAGGCCTCTATCACTGCCTTCAGGGGGCTACTGGCCTCTCGGGGTCTCTGCAGCAGGGTTCGCAGCTCAGCCAGGCTGGGCAGCGCCAGGAGCTGGAGGAAGGTCAGGAGAGGGTGACTGGCAACACTTCCTCCAGCACCATCCCACCTCCAAGCTTTAACCAGGGCGGGGCTCTCTGCCTGGTTCCCAAAGGGAATGCCAGGGGATGCCTATCGCCTCCCCCTCCAGGCAGCCTGCCCTGATTGCTCCCCGCCTGGGGCTGAGGATGGGGAGGGCCTCTGACCTCCTGGGCCAGGTCTTTGGCTGCCTCCACAAAGCCGTCCATGGCCTCCCGAGCTTGGCCCAGCACAGACCCCAGTGGGTCCTGTGGAGAGAGACTAGGTAACAACGACTTTGATTGAACTCTTGCTCAGGGTCAAGAACTCTGCTAAGTTCCCAGGTGGTCCCCATTTTACAGAGGGGAAAACTGAGAGGGGCTTTGTCCAAGGTCTCACGGACTGCAGTCCTCACCCCCATGCCAACCATGGCTGACGGGCACAGACAAGACAAGGAAGACCCCTTCAGGGACAGAGCTGGAGGCTGGGGGCAGAAGCCAGGAGAGGGGAGCAGCTGGCCCAGGACAGGGCAGTGCGGGGACTCCCTGGGCCTGCCCCACCTCGCCTCACCCCTCGCAGCAGGGTCCCCAGCAGCTCAGTGGCCAGTGTGGCTGGCATTGACAGTCCCTCCTGTGGATGGTCACTCTGTTGAGGCCCAGCTGGGGGCAGAACACGCCGGAACACAGGGGTTACGCAAACATCGGCCTGAATCTCCCCATCTGCCCTGTGCCCATTTCACAGCCAGGCAAGTCGAGGCTCACAGCCTCCTCACCTGTCCTGCCTGCTGCCCTCAACATGGGCATCAGCTTCCCCAGGCCGGCCAGCGTCCTGTTGGCATTGGGGCCCCCCAGGACACCATAGGCTTCGGCCAGGAGCCGGGAGACCCTGGGGACAGAGAGAGGGTGGAGCCAGGAACTCAGATGGGCACCGCCACCCCCAATGGCTTGCACCCACTGCTGCCTGGTGCTCACAAGGAGTCGTTGAAGTTGTTCAGGACCCCGGGCTCCTCGCCAGGCGTGGGCTGCGCAAAGCAGGTGTTGTTCATGTTACAGATGAGGCCCTGGAGCCAGGGCACTGTGCCCGCCGATGGCAGTGGCTTGTTGGGGAAGTGGCCTGCGGGGAGACGCCCTGCATTCGAGGCCTTGCTCCCTTTGCCTGAGTCCCCACCATTTTGATCAGCCCCCAACACACACACAGATTGCGTGCCTCCAGTGACAGCGAGCTCACTCCCAGAATCATTTATTGGGTGCCTGGGGTGTGCTGCGGGTCACTCACTTGGGGTCCCTGTGAGCCGGCTGATCCATTTGCCTCCCCCTGCCCCCACAAAGTGCCTGGTCCCTTGGGGGCTTACACTCATGGTGCTCAAATGGGGGGTGGGAGTGGCGGACGGCTACCAGGATGAAGAAGAGAAAGAGAGGCCACAGCAACTCGACGAGGAGTTGGATCTGAGGGGACAGTGCAAGTGGAGGGCTAGTGGCGGGCAGTGGAGGGCGCCTGGCCCTTCCCACCCCGCCCCGCCGCTGCCACGTTACCGGCTGTCTCCGGCGATACGTGAAATTCTTCCAAAGCAGCAGCATTAGCTGCGTCCAGAAGGCCATGGTGGGACTAGATAGGCGACAAGGTAAAGGGGTCAAGACATGGGTCAGGCCGAGGACATGCTGTGTGGCCAAGGGAAACTCCCAGCCCTTCTCTGGTCCTCATCCTTCTCCCTCACTGCGAGTTCTAGGAGGCTCTACTTAGGGAGGGGCGAACAGTTGGCGCGCTATAAGGGACTCTGCCCTACTCCAGCAATGGAGTAAGCCAATGGGAGCCCTGCCCGAAGCCATTCTCGCAACTGATTGGTTGCCAGCGCTGTCGCTCCCTGGCGCGGTGGCTGGGGTCTGGAAGACCCTCCCCCTAATCCCTCCTGGCCAAAGCCTCGGTTTAACTCTTTTATCACCAGGCCCCACCCTAATCCCACCTGCGGGCCTCTCCCAGGTCTCCCCGGCTCCCAGCGCCCTTCCTGGCTCTCTTCCTCCCCTTCCCGCTCCCACTCTCTAATGAAAACGGCAACGAATAACTAGTGTGCTGAACCCCCCTGAGTGGAAGTGCTAGATTATCACCCATTTTACAGAAGTGGAAACTGAAGCCCAGAAAGGCCCCAGAGGGACAGGCAGGGTCTCTCGCACCCCCTGTGTATTAATTTATCCCTCCGGAGCTCGGGGAAAAGGCAGCTATGAAGGCCCCTGGAACCAGCTGGACTTGGAAGTCTAGCCTGGCCTACCTTGTACAGATGGGGAAACTGAGGCTGCCATAGAGACGGGAACTAGGACCCTGGACCCCCGAGCCTCACTCCAGGGCTCTTGACATTACGCCAGACTTAGGATCTGAGCAGCAGCCTCAGTTTCCCCATTTGTAAAATGGGGGCAGGGGGATAGCAGAATTCTAAGCTGGGAAGGGGCTGCAGGTGTAGGTTGGCAAAGGCCGTCCCCAGTGACCCTGTTGCCCAGCCTCCCCCTTGTGGAGCAGCAGTCACTTCTCCCAACACTCACCGAAGGGGGTGAAGGGTTAGTGAGGGGCTGGGCTCCGCTCCCAGCCTCTAATTCCCAGGAACCCGCTTCCCACTTCCCCGCCCGCTCATCCTCGAGTCTCGGGCCTTCCTTCCTCTCCGGGTCCCTCTCACCGTTCCAGCCTCCCAGTTCTGGGGGCCTCCTCTCCGCCGGGCAGCGGCCTGGAGCGCGGCCCCTTTAAGAGGGGCCCCCAAAGAACGCAGAGCCCCCGAAGCCGGTCGCCCTTGGCATCCAGGCGACTGCAGATGCACCCGGCCCCGCCCCCTCCAGCGACCATTGGTCGCTGCACCTGCCACTCACGGACCAGCCCCCTCAGGAGCCAAGCTCATAGAGGGGGGAGCGGGGCCACAGTGCGGCTGCGCCTAGCCTGGTTTCTTAAAGGGGCCGCGCGCCTCTTGCTTCGTCATCGTGGGATAGAGCCAGGCGCGGGCCAAGGCACCCAGGGGCCAGCCTTCGGACACACCGGCCAGGGCCCAGCCCAAGGAGCCCAGCTGTTTTCCTACAATGCACAGCCCCAGCTGTCTTCCTACGGTGCGCAGCCGCCTGCAATACCGCAGCTACTGGTTGCAAGAGGCCCCTTACTACCCACTTCCTACTGGGGGACCCGGGTCCTAACCACTCCCCCGTGACCCTGGGGAATTCGACCAGAATCATCATTTGTTCCTCATTCATTCATTCCACAAACATTCCTTGGCCCCTGTGACGGGCCAGGCGCTGGCTGAGGTGGGAAGGGGCCCATCATTCTAAGTTGGGGTCCTGGGATCTAACGATCACTTGATTTTGAGAAAAAAACCCGGATCTATTTCCCAGTTCTGGAAAATGGGTCTATTTCCCAAGCTCCCTGTGAGGATGGGAATCCAGAGCTCAGAAGGCGCTGGGGAGGAGGGGGTGGGGAGCTTCCGCGGTGAGGCTTTTAAGATGTATAGCTTACTAGAGAGGGCAGTGGGGAAGGGCGGGATGGAGTGTGGGTGGGGCTGGACTCTGCCTGGGCATGAGGGTCCCACATTCTCTAACCCCTGAGAGACGTCTAGGACACCCCCTTCTTCCCCTGGCACCTCAAATCATTCATTCCACCCGGACTCACCTGTGGCCTTGGGCCTCAGCTTCCTCCTCTCCCAAGAGGGCTGTGAGAACCAACTCGGGTGTGTCCCCCTTGCCCCCCAGACCCCCAAGGGCCCCAGAAAGCATCCACACCAGACACCCTCCATCTCCCAGCCTGCCTTCTCCATTCAAAACCCCAACTCTCCAGCCACTTTTTTTCCCTAAAAACAGAGGTTTTTATTGCAATTTGGTCCACAGTGAGTATTTCACATTATTTCATGGTCCCGGGGCTCCTGGTGGGGGCTGGTCCCCAGAAGGATCTTGAGTGGGGGACCCTGTGCAGTTCTTGGCAGGGGGCAAGGCAGGGAGACAGGGGTCATCTGGGAGGGCCACCCAGTAACATCTGCAATCAAATGAAGGTCCGAGGGGTGGGTGGGGACGAGCATGGGGGGAGCCAGCTTTGCCTCAACCACTCAGAACTGCATTGTCCTGTCTAGGCCTCAGTTTCCCACTGAGGGGTCCTGGGAGAGGTCACAGTTGGCATTCTGAGGATCCTGGGAAATCTAGACCGTCGGGATTCCAGGTTGGTGGCCTGGCCCTCTCCCAGCGGATCCATTTCCCAGTACCCTCCTTCCACCATTCTCCTGGAGGCAAAAGAAAAAAAAAGTGGTTTTCTTTCTTTAAAAACTGCCTGAAGCTTCTGTGGTCAGAGAAACCACAAACTGATCTTCAGAGAAAAGGGAAGGGAGGGAATGCAACCGGAAACCATTGGGGGCTGGTTCCCCTTCCCCCACAGCTCAGGGTCCAGCCTGCTGAGGAACAGGCTGCTGGTTGTACCCTGCCAGGGATGGCTCCCCTAACTCGGCTCCCCTAACTCCCCCAGTGGAGTGAGATGTGACCTTTGCCCCTCCCCCTAGCCTGGTGGCTCAGTTCTGGCAAGAATCCAAGGGAGGGTGGGACCCACACCCCTGGCCACTCCCCCCCAAGCCGCCCACAGACCCTCCGCTGGCAGCGCTCCAACATATAGAAAAACAAGACAAAACCCCAAAACCCAGACGAGGCGATGATGTGTGGAGATGCCACGTGTGGCACCTCAGTAGTCTGCCCCCTCCTGGTAGTAGGGGGGGAACTCAGGGGCCGCCCCAGGGCCTGGGCAGTCGCTGGCACCCGCCGGGGCCCCGTCAGCCGCTGGGCCTTTCGGACAGTACTTGGGGTCATAGATCTGCCGGCCCAGGCCAAAGACCTGGCCGCTCTGGTTGGCGCCCTGCGTGTAACCCATCTGCAGGGACATGGAGGAGTTGTCACACTTGTCGGTGCCCAGCTTGGTGTCATAGATGTGCCGCCGGGTCCCTGGGGCTGTCATGCCCACCTGGGGAGGGAGGAGGGAGCGTCAGGGTGGGAGCAAAGAGGGGCATCTCTCTGCTCTGAGCCCCACGCCTGGCTGCTCTGAGACGGGAAACCCAAGGCCACGAGAGGGGGACGTCCCCCAAACTCCCACACCATTTCCCACCTCCGCCACCCTACGTGGATCCTTCCAAGCCTTGCTCAACCCCCATCCCCACCCCCAAAAAAACAAACAAACCCATTGCCATGGAGTTGATTCTGACTCACGGGGACCCCGTGTGTTACAGAAGAGAGCTGAGCCCCATAGGGTTTTCTTGGCTGGGATCTTTATAGAAAGGAATCCTGGTGGCACAAAGGTCAAGCGCGCAGCTGCTAACTGAAAGGTTGGCAGTTTGAACCACCCAGCGCCTCCGTGGGAGAAAAGACCTGGTGATCTGGCTCGCATAAAGATTACAGCCTAGAAAACCCTGTGGGGCAGTTCTACTCTGTCCTATGGAGTCGCTGTGAGTCGGAGGCAACCCCACGGCGTGCAACAATAACAATCTTTATGGAGGCAGATCCCAGGCTTTTCTTCCACAGAGCCACTGGGTGGGTTTGAACCACCGACCTTTGGGTTAGTGGCTGAGCACGAACTGCGCCACGTAGGGATTCTTAAGCCTTGCTCAGACCCCTCTTTTCTGACTCCATGCCGAGTCCATTACCCAGCACCCTCTCCCTCTCCTCAGCCCAGACTCCTTAGAACCAGGAGAGTCTGTGTCCAGCTTTCTCTCCCCTGCAGCCAGAAAGCACCCAGGCCGGGGCCTAGGACTTCCCGGGCACCTGAGCGTTCCAAAAACATCACTCGGACACGTTCGACATCACAGAAAGGGTGAGAGCCACGGGCTGTAAGAACCGTCAGAGTTGGCTGGGGCTCTGGGCCACCCTTGGATAGAGACCCAGCACAGAGAGGGGCAGCCAGTCCCCTGGGGACACACAGCAAGAGACAGAGGTGGCATGGCCAGAGAGGACGGGGGTGAAGCTGGGCAGGGGTCTGGTGAGGCCCACCTGGCTGGCACACTTGTTGGTGCCCATCTGGAGGCTGATGGTGGAGTGGTCCATGGGTGGCAGGATGTGGTTCTTGGGGTCGTAGAGGTGGCGTCTCATCCCGTAGGCCGTCATGCCCGACTGGCTGGCACATTTGTTGGTGCCCATCTGCAGGGGGGTGGATGGGAGAGGTCAGGCTGCCCCTGCCCACCCTTAGACCTTGCCCTGGACTTGACAGGCCCCAGGCCTCAGCAGGGCCCAGGTCGTGTCCGGAGCCCAGTCCTGGGGAGGAGGGGAGCCTGGCACCCACCTGGAGCCCGATGACGCACTGGCCCGCCTTCATGGTGGCATCGTCGAAGTTCCTCTCCTGCCTCTCCGAGTATTTAACACCGATGTCCACGCCGCTCTGCAGCCCCTTTGTCTTGGCCTGGGAGGGGCAAGGGGAGCTGGGATTATCGGGGGGCATGGGGACCCCCTTGATCCAGGCCAGAGCGTGCAACCCCAGGGCAGGAACAGGGGCCGGGCTGCAAGTTCCCCTTGCCTCTCCAAGGAACCCTCGAGGCTCTGCACCCTCCGCCTGCTGCTCAGCACCTCCAGACGGCCGTCTCCAAGTCAACCCTCCCATCATGGAGCTCTGGGGGTGCCCAGCCTTCCCCACCTCAGGCAGAACAAGCCCCAGCCTTGCCAAGAGTTCTGGAGCATCCTCGCTCTCTCTCACCTTCCTTGAGTATCCATTGTTGAATCCCATCACCTCCTCCCCACCCCAGCCATTCTGGCCCAGACTGCCACCAGCATCTCTTGCCCGGTCACCTGACCTCAGCTCCTCTCTGGTCTCCCTGTCTCCATGTGGCAACCACAGGGGGCATATGAAAACACCACTCAGAGCACAAGTCCCAGTGCTTCCAACACTCCAAGCCGCTTGCCATGTCAAAACCTTTCTGTTCACTCTCTAGCTCAAACACTGTTCCACCCACCCTTCCAATCTCATTGTAAGGGTCACCGTCTCCAAGAAGCCTTCCCTGATCACGCTGGTCTAATTCTTTCTTCTTCAAGGCACTTCTCCCAATTTATATGCACAATGATTTGCTCAATCAGAATTCCAAATTCTCATGGAATCCAGACTTTCTGGAGCCAAGGAGGTTGGATGAACCCCTGAAACTGCTGCCCTGAGATCATCTTTAAACCTTAAACCAAAAAAATTCCCTAAAGTCTTCTTCAAGCCAAACAACAGTTGAGCGTATTTAGTAGAGAACATTTGCCTTGAGCATTGTGCTCTTTTGAAGAATAATCTACGTGGGATCCAAGTGACCACAGCAACGTGAAAGGTTAGATGGGAAGCTCAGGGGGCAGTGAGTCTATGCTAACGGGGAGGGACAACTTGGAAAAGGGGGGTGAGAACGGTCGCACACCTCAGAGAATGTCAGCAATGTCACTGACTTGTATACGAAGAAATTGTCGAATAGGTATATGCTTTCAACAACAATAAAAAAAATGATTTGTTCAACGCCTGCTTCCTCCATCGGACTGTGAGCCCACGAAGCGGGGGACTCGTCTGTCCTGCTCACCATTGAATCCAAAGTGCCTGGTGCCTCGGAGGAGGCATTCAGAAATATTTGCAAATGAATGAACAAACCTCCTCAGTGAACCTACAGCTAGCTCGCTGTGTGACCCTGGACAGGTCGCTGACCCTCTCTGGGCCTCACCTTCCCCGCCAGGGCGAGAAGAGACACCTGCACCTGGGTCATGTTCCCACTCTCAAACAGGTCGTTGGCCTCGAACAGGTCCACGGGGTTCATGCCGTAGCCGACCATGGCCTTGATGAAGTTGGAGAGGTTCTCTAGCTGGGGGGAGGGAGGAGAAGGCCCATCAGCGGGGCCTCAGGCTACTGACCTGTCCGATGGGGCCCCCAGCCCCGCCCCTCCTCCACCCCGCGGGTCCCTCACCTGGTGCCAGTTCTGCATGGAGTGGTTGATCTTGGGGACTGAGCCCGGCTGCAGCTTATTCATGAGTCTGGGGGGACAGATGGGGTGGGAGAAACAAGGAGCCTCCGTTAGTACCGGAGACCCTCAGAGAGCCTGGTCCCAGGGGCAAGAGATCACAGTTCTAGTATCAGCCAAGTTCACGCCTTCCTGGGCAACTTCACTGCCTCTCTCTGGGCCTCAGTTTCCCCTCTTGTAAAGTGACCTCTCACCTCCCAAACAAGCGAAGATGTCAAAGGCTGACGACAACCCATGTTGGGAGTACAGCTTGGAACCACCGATGTTTGGAAGTGTATTTGGGGATTTCCGTTAAAAGTCTCAATGTGAAAACCAGGGACCGTTTGGACTACAGCAGGATATGAGGCAATGGTAGACAGAGCACCAGGACAGGAAAAGAAAGAAGAGGGAGAGAGAGCCCAGGCTCATGAAGCGAAAAGCAAGCTTCAGAACAGCATGTGGAGCACGATCTCATTCGCATGGAATAATTAGGTGTGGAGATGTGCATCAAACCCATGTACTCACGTGCATAAGATAATTCCATCCTTCAGGCCCTTCTGGAAGTCGGGGCCGATAGAGAGGCCGGTGAGTTCCTCGATCCAGCTGCGGAGCTCCACCTCCTTCTGAGGGTCGTACTTGGACAGGAGCTGGGGCAGAGGACACAGGGCTGAATTGGGGTGAGGTCACCCTGAGCAGAAGCCCCCTCAAGCTCCTGACTAGGGGTAGGGAACGGACAGTGAATCCAAGGGAAGAAGAGACTGAGGGTCCTGGAGGTCCCCATACCCCCAAGCAGACCCTCCCCTTTCCCATCAGTGGGGACACCCCAGCCCTTGCTCACTGGCTGGCACAGATAAGTCACCCCAAGGCACAAACACGCTCATATCTCTCCTTCATAAACATCTGCTCTAATCTATTTCCAGGGGTACCAAGTCTGGCACCAAATCCAACACGTCCTGCCCCTCTGCCACCCCATTCTCGCATCTCATCTGCTTGTTCTCCCTGCGCTGGATCCACTGATCCTTCCCTGTTATTTATTTAAATTGTGGTAAAATACACATGACAATTACCATCTTAACCATTTTAAAGTACACAATTCGGGGACATTAAGTACCTTCACAGTGTTATGCAACCATCATCTCTATTTAATTCCAGAACTTTCTCATCACCCCAAAAGGAAACCTCATACCAATTAAGCAGTCACTCCCCACTCTCTCCTGCCCTAGCCCCTGACAACAACGAATTCTGGACATTTCATAAAAATGAGATCAGCACTGTGTCCTTTCGCATCTGGCTGCTCTCAGCATGTTTGCGAGCTTCATCCACGCTGTAACACGTATTTAGGTTTCATTCCTCTTTATGGCTGAGTACTATTCCATCACATGGATGGACCACACCTTGTTTATCCATTCATCTGTTGATGGACACTTGAGTTGTTTGATCTTATAGGAGAGAGGAGAACTGCCCCAGAGGGTTTCTAAGGATCAGCTGGTGGATTCGAACTGCCGACCTTTTGGTTAGCGGCCAAACACTTAACCACTGTGCCACCGGGGCTCCTTCCAGTTTTTGGCTATTGCGAATACTGCTACGAACACCTGTGTACAAGTTTTGTTCAAACATCTGCTTTCAATTTTGTGGGCTACATACCCAGGAGGGGGATTGTTTGGCCATATGGTAGTTATTGAGGAACCATCAAACCTTTCTCTCGTTTCTCCCACTCACCCTGTTAGTTCCTGCCTCAGGGTCTTTGCCCGTGCTGGGTCCGCAGACTCAGATGTTTGCACAGCTCAGTCCCTCCCTTCATCAGTGGTAGCTGGAAGCTCACCTCCTTGGAGAGTCCTTCCCAGACCCCCTCCCCCTTGCATTCCTCTCTCCTGAACCCTGTTTTTATTTTCCTTCCTGGCTGTTACCCCCACCTTCTCTTATTTATCCCCTCGCTGATGGCCCATCTTCTCTAGGAGCTTCACTGTCCTGCTCAAGTCTGTCACCACAGAGCCTGGATGGCTGGGGTAATGTGCTCATGGTCCCCCATTAGCGTACACCCATTGTCCACGAGCACATGCTCACCACTCTCCCTGAGAGGAGCATCGAAGGCCGAGAAAGGAGGAATGGCTGAGGCCCGAGGAAGCCCCAAGGAGTCAGGGAGACCCAGGTGGGTGTGTGGGTGGCAAGAGGTGGAATGCAGCAGTCACCAGGACGAGATGGTCCAGGTTGGTGGAGTCTCTGCTCTGGGCCCCCTCCTTAGCTTTGCTCCCTCAGCCCCCCTCCCTGGAGGTCTCTCTTTCCTCTCCTCCCACAGGCCCCCGGGGGACCAGAACGACCCCAAGCTGCCCCTGGTGCATCCAATTTCTGCTCCCAGCTCTGCCCCAACTCCCTGGATGGCCGTGGACAGTCCCCCCATCCTCGGTTTCCCCATCCACGCTTAGCATCATTGGCGTAGTGGTCCCCAAAACAGGGGCCCTGCTTCCTGCATAACCCCCGGGGCCATGGGAGCAGGGCTGGGCGGCTGCAGCTCCGGGGAAACAAGGGCGTGCGGCCGGCCTGCTAACTGGATCTGCCAGCCCACCCCTTTGGGCCTGGGCCTCCGGGTTCCCACGGCCCTGGAGAGCTGCCCTGCCCAGACCCAGCTTTATCCGCCTGAGCAATGAGAGAGGGGCGGGTCACAGGGGCCAGGGGTCCCGGCTGGAGGCGCCTGGTCTGGCCCCGCCCACCGCGGCTGACTTCCTCCCCCCGCTGCCAGCCCCCAGCTGCCCCGCCGGCCCTTGAGCGGCCGGGCCTTGAGCGCATTCCTTGGTCACCGCAAACCGCCAGGAATGCAGCCGCTGCCTTCCCGGCTAAATCGGAACCAGCTGTGCCCAGCGGTTTAGCCCTCCCTCCCTCGGCCAGGGATGTCGCGGCCATGCTGCTCGGGAGGCACGCTGGACATTAGCCTGCCCCCCTAGTGCTGTCCAGCCGGGGTAAACTGAGGCACGGGGGTCCGGGGGCAAAGAGGCCTCCCGGTCTCCCTCCACCATCCAACTAGTGTGCAGCCCCTGAGTGGCCCTTGAATGGGCACATCCTCTGCCCGTTCTCCAGACCCTGAAAACTGAGAGCTGCTCACAGGGAGGCTCCTGGGGCTGCTGCTCCAGCCTCTGACCTCATGCCTTCCGCCGCTGGTGTCGACCTGCCCTCAGCTCCTTCTGGAAGCTGCCCTCCCTGCTGGGGTTGCTGCGCCCTCACCCACTTCCTGCTGTCCCAGGGGAGACGCCTTGACTGATGGCTTAAAGGACAGAAGTCCCTGTGAACCAGCGGCCATCAGGCGCTGGACTCACGGAGCTAGGTTCGAATCCAGTCTCCGCTGCTTGAGGGCTATGTGGTTCTGGGCAGCCTGAGTGACTTCTCTGAGCCCCATCTGCGTAAGAGGCCTAAAATGCTTCCGCGATGCAGTGTGGAACAGCGCGCTCCGCCCCCACCCCGCTAGCCCACAGGTACTGCAGCTCGTCCAATTACTCTTGGAGGGCTAGAAACCTTTAAGGGGGAGCCTGGAGCCCCGGGCTCGGCCCTTGGCCTCCCCAAGCCTCAGTTTCCCCTTCCGTCCAGTGGGTTGTAGTAAGGCTCCGGGGAGCTCGGGGAGGGCACGCAGACTTTCTCCCTCCTGTCTGCGGCCCCGTGGTGCCGACAGGGGCAGGTGCCAGGCGCAGGCTGGCAGGGTTGGTGCCCTCTGCGTGCCCAGGCAGGCTCCCGGCCGCCGGCTGCGGGGCCACATTCCCAGTTACCTGGGGAAGGGTGTGTGCTGTGTGGAGGGGGATGGGCAGCGATGACGCGCCCCTTTCCAGCTGGAAGGGCCTCTGAGTGTCCGTCCTAGGACGTCCCCCGGGGCCTGGGGTCACCACCGCCTTCTCTTCTTCCCGAGGATGCGCCCGACCCTGCTGTGTGACCCTCCAGAAGAGCCTGCCCCTCTCTGGGCCAGAACCATAGTGGCCCCTTTCTGTTTTCGAGTTACATGTTTAGCGTTTCGTTTGGGGACTTCGGAGTCCTTTGCTGTGCCTTTAAATTCGTCATATGGGCACAAAGAGATGAACAAGGTAAATGCCCGGGCCCCCAACAGCCCAACTTCCCTCTCCTGCCCCCCTCGCAGCTGTGAGACAGGGAAATTCCTGTGGGGGGGGGGTGGGCCACGCCCTTCGCAAAAGGCCCCCGGCCCCGCCTTCCCCCCACCCCGAAAGCAGAAGTGTGGTCAGGAGTGGAGGGGGCCCGCTGGGGTCCCCACAGACCCTCAGGGCGTTCTCGGAACTTGAAACCTTCCAAGGGCCCAGAGCTAGGGGGTGGAGTGTGGGCAAGGGGTTTCAGATGGGGGAGGGGGCTTGACCCAACTCCTCCTAGATGCTGGGGAGAGAAGGGAGTCGCTCCCCCCAGATCTCAGACTTCACTGCTTCCCCAGACTTGGAGTGGTCTACGGAGCACCCCCAGACCACCCGGAGGTTGAAGATCCTGGAGGAGAGAAGGGGGGCCAGGCTTACCCCCGGTCTCCGACCTGACTGCCCCCCAGATGTTCTCCCCACTACGTCGCCCCGACCCCTGCAGATGTCGCAGTGCGAAGGCCGCAGCAGGCGGGGATGAGGGGGCGCGCCCCTCACTCACCCGATTCTTGACCTCTGCCGAGAGCCCGTACGAGGGCCCCTTGTTGAACTGCGTGGAGCTCATGGCTGGCGGCGGAGGCCGGCGGGGCGCGCTGACTGGACCGGAGGGACCACGGGCGGGCGCGGGGCTGGGGACCCGGCGGTGCGCCACGCCCCCCACCACTGATTGGCCCGGAGTGTAAATGTCCTTATAAGGCCGGGAAGCGCCGAATTCCTGCCGCCGCGACTTCCTGAGCCCCCTTAGCCGCCCCGACCCCCGCCCGGGCGGCACGTCCCATCACCTGCGGCCAGGAGGGAGCCTCACCCCTTTTGCTCCGACGGGAAACTGAGGCAAGGGCCAAGCCTCGGCACTCTAGCGTTCTCCCTGCTGGGAGTCCCTAGGCGGCTCTCAGACTTTTTCTGGGTCTCAGTTTACCCTTCTGCACAGTGGTGGGAGATGACATTGTTGGGTTGGCAGGAACCCTAAGTCCCTTGGGGGCACGAGTGAGGCCCCCTCTTGCCACTTGGAAGGGCCTGCCAGACCAGCCCCTTCCCAGGAACTCCCATAGCATACCTGGGGGGTGGTAGAGAGAACCAAAGAAGGCTCCACAGAGGAGAGGGCCATTGGAGCTAGGGCTTTGATGGATGGATAGGAGTTTGCCATTCCAAAAGGGAATGGCGTTCCCGGCAGAACAAAAGGCAGGTACAAAGGCCTGGAGGGACTGTCAGTGGCTAAAGAGCAGAGCAATCAAATAGACTGCGGGAGTTAAGAGGGGTGGGAGGTGAGAAGTGGTCTTGAATTTGGGGCAGAGGGATGAGGGGGAGTTGGGGAAGGTGGGGGAGGTGATGATACAACAGAGGGTAGGAGTCTTGAAGGGCTGGGCTGCCAGGCGCACCAGGCCAGGCACACGGTGTTCAATAGGGGTCCATCTGCTTGTGCGGGTATATCAATAGATTAATAATACATAACAGAAGAACATTTTATTCCTTGGGATCTCCCTGCCACACTCTCTGGGCCAGCCTGAGAAACAGAGAGTGGACAGTTGGGGGTCAACACTGAGACAGTGCACCTATGAATGTGGGGCAGTTGCAGGTTAGTGGGGTCTGGGCAGGGAGCTGTGAATGAGGTGTGGGCCTAGGGTGGGGCCCCTGCAGGTTCCACTGGGGCACAAGGATCAGCCCTCATAATTCATTACCAGTTATTCCCAGCCTGACCCCTGGTGAGCCCATGTGTGTCAGAGTAGAACTGTGCTCCACAGAGTTTTCAGTGGCTGATTTTCTGGAAGTAGATCATCAGGCTTTTCCTCCGAGGTGCCTCTGGGTGGACTCGAACCACTAACCACCCAGTCAGCAGCCAAGCATTAACCATTTGCACCACCCAGGGGCTCTCCCAGAACCGTAGAACATTATAACGCTAAGAACTCTGCCAGAGAACATTAGACTTCGGGAAGTATATAATGCTCTATAATTCTACAACCTTCACGCCAGTTCAAATCCCGGCTCCCGACTTGGCTGTGTGACCTTATGCAATTACCCGACCTCTCGGGGCCTCCGTCTCCTCGTCTGTAAAATTGGGGTGAGAAGGCTTCTACTGCGTGCAGGCTGCTGTAAACATGAAACGGGTAAATATTTGTGAAATGCTGAGGATGGAGCCTGGCACAAGGTAAGCTGAGATAAGGAGTTGTTGAGTCAACAGACGTTGAAATGTTAGGAATTTCAGCCTCAGCAGCCGGAGCCTGAGGAATCCTTGGCTTTCTCTCCAAAGGTCTAAGGCCTCTGAGGTCACCTCTACCCTTTGACTCTGTGATACTGTTGGCCCCTGGGAGGTTGTGGGGCGGTGGAATGATGGAGGCAGATGTCATCAGATGCTCTTGGGTGGGGACGTGGAGATCCCCATGGAACAGGCACAGCGGCTGGTGGGCCTGGGGCTTCGGCCCCCCAGAAGGCCTTCCATGGGTGCTAGGCTGGCAGGCCGGGCCTGGGGGTCTTGGTGGTGGGCACGAGGGGCTGCAGGTGTGGCCCTGGGTCAGGTGGCCCACGGATCGTCACGGCCTGTTCACTGCAGCCTCCTCTGAGTGGGACCTCGGGGGCTTTGGACGCCTCCCCAGGGGGATTCAGGCGCTCCCCCATCCTCTCTGGCTTTCGGGTAGAACGTGGACCTCAGCTGGCTCACCAGGACATCTGAGGGGAGAAGAAGCCTGAGTCAACAATAACAACAGAAGCAACAACCGAGTAATGATAACAAAAAGCTCTCAACCGAAAGAAGCCTGCAAACTCCAGAGTCAGGCTGGGAACCCCCTCTGCTCACACTCCCCCATGGCTCCCCAGTGCCCTCCAACAAGGATGTTGTCTGGGCCCCTCACAATCTGACCCACCCAGCTCTCTGACCCCATCTCCCCCTATACACTCCCTTGCTCCCTCTGCCCAAGGCACAGGGGCCTCCTCCTCACTGCCTGTGCCCCACATGGTCAGACCCCGTCCCGCCTTAGGGCCTTCGTCCTGCCTGTGCCCTCCTCCCGGAACACCTTTCCCAGAGATGGCCCCCGGCTCTTTCACCATCTGTCTTCCTTCCGGCGCTGATCGGAGTCACCTTCTTAGGGAACCTCTCCTGAACCCCAGTTTAACTCTCAACCTACGCCCACCCCAGGCCCCGCACCCAAACACTGTAGGTATAACCAAAACAAGCAACAGTGCTGCCTCAGCATGAGTTCCTCCCGTGACAAGCCCAGCTCCAAATTTCTCCTCACTTTGGAAGAAGGCTAGCCACTATGTCTGGCCGGTCTCTCTCTCTCTCTCTCTCTCTCTCTCTCTCTCTCTCTCTC